TAGGGGATCCTGCTCTGGCAGGGGGGCTGGACTGGGTGATCTCCAGAGGTCCCTTCCAACCCCAACCAACCTGTGGTTCTGTGAAAGGCTGTGTGCCTTGCTGCAGGCACCTCACTGAGCAGGACTGCTGGAAAGAGAATAGCATTTTGAAGCTACAGCACAGCCACTGCTGGAAACCAGCTGTGCTCACATCTGGCTCTGGCTTTGGAGCTTGCCTCCAAGGACAGGCAGACTGTGCAGTGCTAATGGGAGCAGGTTCACAGCCTGGAGCCAGAAGTTCAAGAAAATAACATTTCAAAATCACTGTGCAATACATACAGTAAAATACTTGGGGGCATGGAGCCCATCCCAAGCAGCAGAACCCTGCAGGTAATATGAAGGTGGTGAGTCCCAGGATGGTCACTCAGCAACAATTACCAAAGGTGTCACCTGCATAAAGTCAGAGCTCAACAACACCAGAAACTACACAAAGGACAAGAATAGGCACAGTTGTATCTTCACACTTTTCCCCATTCAAACACTGCCTGCAGGTAAATCTATAGCTTTTAACACAGGCAGAACAATATGGATTTCAAAGATAAAATAAATGAAGGAAACATGAAACAACTCCTGGTAGCTCACAACACCTCTGCAAGTGCAAGCACAAAAGGAAAAAGACACCCTTGTTTATGGAGCTGGCAAAACTGCAGAAGAATACACAGCACTTGTAATCAAAAAGTTTTATTTTTAAATCCCTTTTCAATTATTTGGGAGTATTTTTTTTTATCAACAGCACTGGATATATTCACTATATATAATGAATATATCACTATATCCTGATCACAAATGCCCAAGAAGGAAGAAAAGCAAGTCTGGGAAGAAATAGGCTGGAGTAGAGGCCTGTCCTCCCACTCAAAGGCAATTATGACATTTATGTTTAAGCCTCTCCAATCCCTTTCTGTCTTTTTAGGTGATCCCAGAGCTCCAGCTCAGACTTCTGGCACTGAAAACAACTGCAAACTGCAAAGATTTGCTCAACATAATTTCAGGACCCAGGGTTCAAATCAGGTTTCATTCATTTCAAATGAAATTTAAAAAAATGTCTATGTCTATTATCCACTTCTCACTGGTCATCTGCGTTGTTGAGGGTTTATAGTTTGGTTTGGTTGTTTGTTTTTCAGAGGCCAGGAAGCAAATGCTAATGGAGAAGATTCCACATGAAGCGTTTCTTCAGCACAAGACTGAGGAAACCAGCGGAAGCTGCTGACTGCGCTCTCTGCTGGGGAGGGCTGGGAAGTCACTGGAAAGTCACTGGGAAGTCACACAACGTGCACAGCATCCCACAGCAACACGGGGAAAAGCATCAATTAGCAGGTTCCCTGCAGGAAAAGCTTCATTTACCACTTAATTGTCCTTCCAACCGGTTTAGTGTCATGTTAAGAGGATCAGATTGTCACTCACAGAAATCAAAGATTCCTCCCCATTTCAAAACCAGGTGTGTAAATGTAGAAAGGATCTCAGAGCAGATTTTTTTGAGCTCTGGCTACAGATCTCACTGAATTATCTGTACTGTGCAAGAACCAGGGCTGTTCTAGAGAAGAGCAGCACATGCGGCACTCATAACTGCCTTCCTGCCAGTACCCAGAGCTATTTATACCATGTAAAGATGTAGCTAGAACCAAAATATCAGTATTGAAATATCAAGGTTCAGGAATCACTGAGGGCTGGTTACCTCTCAAATAGTTAGAGAAAATGAGTTTTGTGTGATCAAACTCATTATTTCATCAGTGCTGGAGGCAAAACAGAGGCAGGTCTCTGGAAAACACACCTGTGCACTGAGGAAATTTACAAATGCACAAATCACTGGGAATTGGAGAGAAAAGCTCTTAGATTCAGGGGCAGGCACAGAAGGACACATTGAAGGCAGCAGAAGTTCAGCCCACAGGATGAAGCCATCTGCTCCTGGCTGGTTTTGTCACCTGAAATGTGGCCAGAAGTAACCAAACCAAGTGGCATTTGCTAGTGAAAAGCACATGCAGGAATCTCAGAAATCCACATTCAGGACTGCATCTTAAGTGTGGGAAAGAAGAAAACATTTTCAAACCTCTCTTTCCTCTGAAGGCAAAAGAAGTTATGGAACTGACTTCAGGCCAACACACCAACCCACCACCAAAGCCAGGAAGAGACTGCCCCAAAACAAAGATCAACATCAAGCTCTTCCCTTCCTCTGTGAGATGAGATCAGGAGACAGACTGTAAAGCTTCAACACATTTCACAGCACACTTGAAACCACATAAAATTCCCAGTTTTATTCAAACAATAGACAGAACACTTATTAAAAAAACCCCAACAATGGTAACCTACAAGATTTTGAAGCCAAGACCTGCGAATCTGATTTCTGTCAAAGGAGCTATGAAGAGTTGATGTTCCTCCTGACCAAAGGCAGTTCAGTCACTAGTTGGGGTAGGGAAAATACTTCCAGCAGCTCTTTAGCTGACTCTGAAGTACCTCAGGCTAGAAAAAGTGAGTCTGTAATTTCTGGCAATCCAGCATCCAAACCTCTGTGAAGAAGGTCACAGGGATGTCAGCCTGAAGCTCACCACTTAAAAGCCAACTCTTGATGCAGAATTTGGAAAGTGCCTGGGAGCTGACAAGCACAACAGTCTCCTACTTCCTCCTAAAAGCACTGTGAAATATTGAACTTTGATACAGAAAGTTAAAGAAACAAGAGACCAGCCAAGAAACCGAGCAGGGAAGGAGGCACTTGGGTACAGCAGCAGGGCAGCCACCACCTCCATTCCAACCAGGACACCTCCAGTGGTCAAGAAGCCTTTTCCCACACCATGGGATGTATCTGTTTCCAAGGATGCAGTTTCCCATACACAGCTATTAGACCACAGAGTTTTCCAGTCCTCATTAACCACAGGTCAGATTCTCAAGAAATCACACAGCAAATGGCACAGCCTAAACACCTCTTGGTGCAACCAACTGCCCCTCCATTTTCCCTGTATTCCCATTTTTCATCCACACCACAGATGTCATCCCAATAATCCACACCAATATATCCTTCTGAATTACAGCAGAGTTTATTTTAATATTTTGTACAGCCAGCATTGGTCTCCAGGAATAAGTTATAATCTTACATAAGTGAGTTGCCCCCCCAAACCCACCTTTAAGGAATGTTCAACTTTCAGCATTTCTAATTTAGAGGGAAATGATTTATAGGGCAAGATGCAGTCCAAAGAATGGAAATCAACCTTAAATTGTGAATAAAACTCCTTGGAAGTCCTCAGGGTTTACTGGTATCTAATTGGATGCATGAACAAGCACAGAGGTCACATCTTTCAGGACTGCACTGAGAATACATTCAATGTGGGGACAAGTTTATCTTCTGAAATTGGACAGGGTTTTCTTTCCTTTTTTCTCCACTTCATGCCCCACAATTAATACTTTACAGTCTAGTACAATCAATGCTTGTAACAGATTTTTCCAAGGGGTAACTCCTATCCCCATCCAACACTTTATTCAGCTGTTCTCAGCACCACTTAAAAACACCTTCATTTCTCACTGAGTATTTTGTTTCTTTAATGCAGCCAAGAGGAACAGGACCTCAACATTGCCTTGAAGCAACAAACAACACACAAAACAAATAAATACTTTAAAATCCCTTTAAATGGTCATGACATATACTCTGTTCCAGTGCAGAACTTGGTTAACTACTAGGTAAAAAGCACTCCAAAGCTCCTCAGCAACAGACTAGGAGCAACACTCACCTGCTTGCACCACTCTCCTCAAATTATTTGAGTAATGGGGGGAGGGAAATGAGCAACAGCCTCAGAGGAATTCCTGTCCTGTGCTCAGGGAACTGCCAGTGTCCAGATATTAAGCGATTCACATTCTCTAGCACAAGGAAAACAACAAAAGTTTGTATCAACATTTCCTTCTTCCTCTCTGAAAAAACATGCCCAGTTTCTGGAATGGTTCAGCTAACTCTGGGAAACACCAACCAACAAGAAGTGAGAGTCAAGAGCAAGATGCATGGCTTACAGATGAAACAGGAGCCCTTCTGGGGCTCCCTACAGACCTTCCAACCTCAGAGGAAAGTGGTTTCATCAGGAAGTCCCTCTTTCCTACCCCACTCAGCTTCAGAGTGAACACACCCAGGGGGGGTTGTACATGGTTTTCAGAAAACCAGAGCAAGAGAAAAGTCCCAACATTGAACCTGATGCAGAATCCCCATCAAAGGGTTAGGGAAGAGTTTTACTCCTCCTGCCTGAATGAAAACAGGGAGGTGAACACTTAGTTACTGGGGGATTTTATGACATGAAAGAAATGTTCAGCCAAGTCTTACTTACAAAGCCTTTTAAGCTCAAGCAAGGTCTGGATTCAGAAACTGAATGCTCCTTCCTCATGATCTCAAAACAATCTAGCAACAGTGATTAGACAGTGTAAGAATCTTTTTAAAAGTCAGTACTTTTGGTGTTGAAAGGAAGACCAGCTCACTGCTCTGTTGCTACTTCTCTCCAAGAGGGGACTGCAAATTTTGGCCAAAGGAAAACGCCTTGTATTTTCTACAGGGAACAAAACTGCAGCTAAAAGTTATGGAAACTGTGTCAGAAAATGACCCAATGGAACACCCCACTCCACAAGAGCATCCCAAAATGCTTTACACTACAGAAGTACACTTAGATGAATGTTGTATACCTCCCTGAGGTATATTTTCTGATGCCACGTAGCGGGGGGGAGGATTTTCCCTTCAAGAAATGAGATCCCAGTTAGAATAAAGCAAACCCTTTCTTTTAACTGTTCCTTTCAACGTGTTCTATATATATATACAACCCTTAAAATACGCTTAAAAATAGCTGCACACATTTTGTATCGTTGTACTAGAGAAGGGCAGTCCAGACAGACCCTGCTTCTCAGTATGTTAAAAATAGTAAATAAAACCCAACCAGACTGGCTCTTCTCTGGTACCTAGGCTGGTCCAAAGGAGGGAGGGGAAGGAACAAGCAGTTTTAAAATGGGAGTCTTTCACAAAACACGCTACTTACAAATCTCAGGTTCATTTCCTCAAGCAGTTTTCTAGCAAATCCTTTCTTAAATATCTGAGGTCACACACTGCCATCTCAGCAATGACATCTGTTGCAACACGCACGTGTCAAGCTTCCCACTCCACCAACTGCAACCCTGAGGATTTTTCTGGCCTGGTAGGAAGAGGAAATGTAACAGAATTCCTGAAGTATGGCTGGTCCTCTGCTCCAAAACTCCGTGTGATTCCCTCGATGGCTCTTGGACACACACCCACACTTGTTTGTTGTTCCTGTAATACAGGTTTCCCTCTAACCAACATGCAGATTTCTCCTCCCAGTCGTCCACATCTCGATGACCCAAGGAAAGGATCCATGTCACCCATCCAGAGGTTTTCCCAGGTAGACCAAAGTCACTTCTGTGTTACCATACACAGCAGACACTGCTGGATACAGGCAAACTTTTGGCAGTCCTCTGAAGGCAACTCCCAAGAACTCATAGCCCCTCTCAAATGCTAATGTTTTGTCTTCCATGTCCAGGATAACTCGAATCCTTTCACCTATCTGGAAACAGAGACAGGAGGGGGGAATAAAAAACAACAAACAAAGCAGAGAGAAAGGGTCAGCATTTTCAGAGAGACAAAAATAGAGCACGGGGCACAGCAAATTATTTTAAAACAAGGCTTCCTTGTTTCTCATGATTGCATTACTCAGAAGAGGAATTTCTCAATTTTATTTTAATCCCACTAGGGTCCCAAGCACCTGTTTCCAGTGGGAAGCCTGTACCTGACCTCCTACATGGTAATAAACCTCACCCTTCTATCCTGGTGAGGACAGAGGAAAATTGGCTTCATCCTGGCTTAAATCAGGACATCTTCTCATATGAACCCCAAGAGAGCACCAGGGGTAAACATAAAACATGCCACAAGCTTCAGGACACTGCAGAGTGCTGGAAACTCTGTAATGGCCTCCAAGTTACCCGAGTTACCTGTATTTAGCTCTTGCTACTGCTGAGCAGTAATTGCTCTGAAAAGAGCAACTTCAGAAACAATGAACTTGTTTTAGAAAGGTTAAGTGCCACATACAAAATATAGCAGAATATATTACTACACAGGTGCTGTCACTATCACCAAGGCAGAAGAAAATTCCACTGCAAGTCTCAGGCAAAATAAATGTTAAAAACTTTTTATACACACATTTGTACCTAAAACCAACAGTAAAAACAACCCTGAATACAGGAACAGACTTGGACACAGATCTGGGCATGCACTGTGCTCCTGACATTTACCAAGTAGACATTATTTTAGTCAAAAATACAATATGTAGTACACCTTATTTTAGACAAAAATACAATCCCACTCAGCAACAAGCCCAGCAGGATGCCACACAAACTCCTAATGTCTCACCAAGCAGTCCCACTGCTGGGGATTTCTTCCAGACAACACATTTTCCTTCTAACCAACATGTGTTTCCTTGAACTATATTTTCTACGAGCAGCTCACTGTATAGGCCTAACTAACCACAAAATACTCCAAAGGGCCACAGATTTGAGCTCTCAATAGGTTTTTTACAGAGGAAGGAGCAGTTGCGTTCACTTTTGAGACCCTCCACATGAGCTGGCACCTCTCAGCTTCCAAACTCTTCCTCATCCTGTTGCTGCAGAAAGGCCTAGACAAGGACAGCAGAAAGTGACCACAAAGAGTTGGGCCTGCAAAGTGCCAAGTCAGGAATATCCAAATGGAAAGAGACCTAAATCTTTTAAACTACACTAATTTTAGGTATTATTTGCAAAAAAAACCAAACCTGCAGGCATCGCTTTCAGGCCGAATGAAGTGCTTGGTGGTGAACTTTTATATGAAATTTAGGAGTATCAGACACAAGCCTGAAACACACAACTGAAACAGAAGGCAACTAATGCAAAGGATTATGAAATGGAAATTATAATGTATACAGCTCAGGTTGTAATGCAAGGAAATCCAGCAAAGTATGAGCAGGCAGAAGCACAAAGATCAACACTTATACAAAAAGTTGGAATGGCACTAGCTCTTTAATAACCTGAAATTATCTGAGCATCCCAGCCAAGGGTTATCACCCATGGGAAGGCTGCCAGGGAGCCAACAAGCAGCACTCAGCACTGCTGCAGGTTTTTGCAAGAAGGCTCTTACCTAAGCACTAACCTCAGCTCACCCTGCCATGCAACACAAGGGTAAAACACCACAGACATCTGCCCTGCTGTGGGGCCAGTCATTACTCGAGAAGGCTCCAGGAGCCTTTTCAGCTTGTATTTCAAGCAGCAACATGGTGTCTAAACACACACAGTGTACCCATGGTACACTCTTGGCACTCAGTAGCTGAGATGAAAGTTTGGATACAACTGAGGGTGCAAGTGCCTCGAACAGCACACACCTGTGCAGCCTGAGAAAGCAGTATCACAGAATCCCAGACTGGTTTGGGTTGGAAGGGCCCTTCAAGATCAACCACCTCCAACCCCCTGCATGGGCAGGGACCCCTCCCACCAGCCCAGGTTGCTCCAAGCCCCATCCAACCTCCCCTTCAACACTGCCAGGGATGGGGCAGCCACAGCTTCCCTGGGCAACCTGGGCCAGGCTCTCACCACCCTCACACTCCACAATTCCCTCCTCATGTCTCACCTCAATCTCCCCTCTCCCAGTTTTCATCCCTTCCCCCTTGTCCTCTCTCTCCCTGCCCTTGTCCCAAGTCCCTCCTCAGCTTTCCAGGAGCCCCTTCAGGCCCTAGAAGGTGCTCTAAGGTCTCCCTGGAGCATTTTCTTCTCCAGTAAATGAAGTGGGAAAGGCCTCACAAGGCAGAATTATTTGCCTTATCACAGAGTGGTTTGGGTTGGAAGGACCTTAAAGATCACCCAGCTCCAACCCCCTGCATGGGCAGGGACACCTCCCACCAGCCCAGGTTGCTCCAAGCCCCATCCAACCTGCCCTTCAACACTGCCAGGGATGGGGCAGCCACAGCTTCCCTGAGCAACCTGGGCCAGGCTCTCACCACTTTTCTTAGGAAAAGAGACCCAGAAGGGGGCATTTAGGCGCAACCCAGTAGTCACCGAGACCCACAAGGAAAGAGCTTCTTGCCAACCAGCCCCCAACTGAAGCTCCCAACCCCCAACTCACCTGATACTTCGGGGCGTTATTGCACTGGGGGAAGCTGCCGTTCACCTCCCCGTTGTGCAGCAAGTTATTGTCCACCAGGTTCCAACCCCAGCTCTGGTCGTCGCTGCCCAGCAGGGCCACGTAGCCCTGGCACTGCATGGCAGCAAGTTTGGTGGCGATGCCGATGACAGCC